AGGAAGACATCGCTGCAGGGGGGCGGCGCGAGGCAGCGCAGAGAGAGAGAGAGAGAGAGAGAGAGAGAGAGAGAGAGCCGCGCGCCGCGCCCCGCGGGGCGCGCGCACTGCGGGGCGAGGCGGCCCCGTTGGGGCGAGCGAGCAGCGCGCACCCATACCCATCGGGGGGGACCCGCGGGTGCGTGCTGTCGGATGGGGGTCCCCGCTCGCGCGGGAGCCCCCCCCCCCAAAGGGGGTCCGACGACCCGCACCCCTGCCCACAGCCAGGCCCCCTCCCCCCCCCCGCGTTGGTGTGGCTGTGGGGTGATGGCTCGTCGCTTTCGTCTCCTTCGTGCCTGGAGAACGGATGGGGCTAGGGAGCGCCGCCCCCGCTCAGGCAGCAGCTCGTCGAGTGGCGGCCGCGGCCGCCTCCGCTTCCGCAGCCGGAGCGGTAGCTCCCGCTCCTCGGGCGCGGCCTCCGCCGCGGAGCGGCGGCAGCGGTCTCGGTCCCCTCGGCTGGCAGAAAAGGGCCCCTCTGCCCCCTTTTTTGCAGAAGCGACCATGAGTTTTCGGAGTTCCGCGCGTCTTTTCTGGATCTGCGCTGGGCCCCCCCTGGAGACGCCTCTGGCGCCGCCCCTGGCGCGCCCAATGCGCCAGGGAGGGGGACCAGGGGGATCCAGTGCCGATCCAAGAGGTCCGCGTGCGTGCGTGTGTGTGTGTGTGTGTGTGTGTGTGTGTGTGTGTGTGTGTGTGTGTGTGTGTGTGTGTGTGTGTGTGTGTGTGTGTGTGTGTGTGTGTGTGTGTGTGTGTGTCTGTGTGGGTGTGTCTGTGTGTGTGTGTGTGTCTGTGTGTGTGTGTGTGTGTGTGTGTGTGTGTGTGTGTGTGTGTGTGTGTGGGCGTGTGTGACTCCTCGCGACAGAAAAGCTCGTTGCTGCTGATGCCGTTCCCCTGCGCTGGATGGGGTGTGCCGAGGTTCTCCGCCTGGTGCCAGCCCAGGGGCGCCTCGTGGGCGCCCAAATAGCTGGCGCCACACAGCTTTCACCGCGCAGACTGCACGGCATAACCTGCACCACACAGCTTGCACCACACTGCTTGCACCAGGCAGCTTATAGCGGCAAGGCGAGGAATCGTCAGACGAAGACGACGACGACGGCGGCGGCAGGCTGCACAGGTTGCACCAGGTAGCCTGCACCACATAGCTCACACCACGCATGATTGCCCCGCGTACATTGCGTCATATGGCATGCACCACATGGCTTGCACCACAGCTTGCACCACATAGCTGGCACCATATGGTGACACCTCATAGCTCACACCTCCACAATGCAATATCTTACACTTTTCGGGTCCACGCTGGCTAACATGATTGGTTTTTGTTGTTGATGCTGACGATTGGTTGGTCTCGTCAGAGGTCGAAGTTCCTGCGCGCAGGTATGAGGTACACCCTTCTTGATCGTATGGGCGGTAGGTCGATTTCTTATACGCTCCCTCTTCCCCCTGTCCTTCGCCCTCCTTTGCTTACCTCCATCATCTGATGTGTGTGGTACTGCTGGCCGTGGCGTCACCACATAGCTGGCACCATATGGTGACACCTCATAGCTCACACCTCCACAATGCAATAGCTTAGACTTTTCGGAGTCCACGCTGGCTACGTAACATGATTGGTTTTGTTGTTGATGCTGACGATGGTGGGGTACATTTTCTCTTTCTGGTTGGTCTCGTCAGAGGTCGAAGTTCCTGCGCGCAGGTATGAGGTACACCCTTCTTGATCGTATGGGCGGTAGGTCGATTTCTTATACGCTCCCTCTTCCCCCTGTCCTTCTCCCTCCTTTGCCCACCTCCATCATCGGATGTGTGAGGTACTGCTGGCCGTGGCGTCAGCGAGGGTACATGGACAGTGTGTGAGTGCCGGCAGATGCGGTATGGTACAGAGACTCGCGCTCACGCTCATTTCGGAAACGTGCATGTGTTCACAGTCAGACGCATCGTTGCCTTCGTAGAAAGACCCAGCTGTGCGACAAATGAGACGACTGGTGGAACCGTGGGAGATGATGACGATATTGAGGATGGTGGAGATGATGGTGATGATGATGCTGATGATGATGATGATGATGATGATGATGATGATGATGATGATGATGGTGATAGTGGTGATAATGGTGATGATGATAATGATGATGATGATGATGATGATGATGATGATGATGATGATGATGATGATGATGATGATGATGATGATGATGATGATGAAGATGATAAGGGAGGGGTAGTGAGGGAGTCCACGGAGGATGCTGGTGGGAAGGGGGACGAGGGAGTAGTGAGCAGGCAGTGCGGAGGGGTGTGCAGAACTTGTCCCATGCGTGAAGCCGTCACTGGCTACCCCGCCACCCGTGGCCACCTGCGGCCTGAACAGGGATCCTCCTCCTCCCTCGTCCTTCCTCCTCCTCCTCCTCCTCCTCCTCCTCCTCCTCTCGCCCTCCTCCTCCTCCTCCTCCTCTTCCTCCCTCCTCCTTGTCTCGTCCCATCGCTGCCAATTTGAGATGATCTGCTTCCAGCAAGAAAAGCTCATGAGGGAACCGCCAGAGCAGGGCCCATTTTGATTCGCTCGATGCGATTCGATGTCGAGTTCGCCCGGCGCGATCCGGTTCGAGCTCGCCGTCCTGGCGGTCCGATGCGGCCCGATGCTCGCAAGGCAGTGTTGTGCATCTTGGTGCAGCCGATCCGATTCGATTTCGGTCTTTGCCGATGCAACCTGATCCGATGCGCATTCCGACTTGATCCGAGTTCTCGATTCGATATTGATCCGAACCAGGGAAGGAGCTGAGAAGGGAGGAGCGAAGAGCGAGGGTCTCGAGGAGGCGTGAAGAGCGAGGAGGAAGGCAGAGGCTCGCGCGGAGAGGCGCACATCACACGCAGACATACACGCACACACCGACCTGGGGTCGAGCTTGGGCCCGGCCAAGAAGGAGCTGGTGCCGGTGTACAGTTGCTCGGTTGCAAATCATGGGAGCCTTTGTATGTGGTCGGGGAACCGTGTGTAGAGTGCACTAGCGTGCGCTAGCGTGACATAACCGATGGAGAGAGCGCCGACTCAGCGTCGAGGGGCGTGAGATAGCCGATGGGGAAGCGCCGACTCAGCGTCGATCCAGCGTCGATTAGCGTCGGTAAGCGCCGATGGCCCGCAAGGTTTCCCTTCTTTTGTCCTTTCGAGTCTGTGCTCCCGAATGCCCAGGGTCAACTTTGAGCAGAGGGGGGGTGAGCGGAGCCAATGCTTCGCTTTCCTGTCACTCTTACGGCCCCAGTTCTCTTTTTGCGCTGGCCAGGCTCATAAGCTGCCGCCCAACAGCTGCCCTCCCCTCACGGCCCGCCCCTCCCCGCGCCTCGGTGCGTCGCCGGTTAGGCACCTCCGCGCGCGCGTGCGCCGAGGCGCCTCGGCCCGAGCAGCGTACCTTCGCTCGCCCCACGGGTCCCCCGCGCCGGTGCTGCCATCGCCATGCTCGCCCGCACGCTGTCCAAGGCTTGAGCTGGGCATGTCCCTCTACAGGAGGAGTATTCAAGAATAGTAAAATCATGTTTCTGCTTTGTTTGTGCTTTGTTATATATATGTATATATAAAGGTTTTGTGATTTTCTTTTGAATATTTTGTGTTTATTGTTTGATTATTTTGTGTGTCCTCGAAATTCCGCCTGTAGGAGGACATGCCCGATCCAATCCGAGGCCCTGCGGCCGGCGGCCGGCAGGCCGCCCGCGCTGGCGCTGGCGAGGGCCGCGTCGGCCCCGGCCGCCCGCGGCTTCTCCGAGATGGCGTCCCCGCAGAAGTTTGCGATCTACCGGTGCTCGGGAGGAGGAGGAGGAGGAGGAGGAGGAGGAGGAGGAGGAATAATAATAATAAGGAGAATAATAATACAAATAATAATGTCAATAGTAATAAGAATAATCATAATAATAGTAGTAATACGAAGAGTACTGATAGTAATACTAATTAGAATAATAATATTAAGATTAAGAAGAAGAGTAATATTGATGGATACTATTAATAAGCATACTGATAATTATATTAATGCTAATACTAATAGTAGTATTGAGAAGACTATTACGAATACTTTGATTATTACGAATAAGAATGCTAAGAAGAGAACTAATAATAAACCTACTAATGATACTACTACTACTACCACTACTACTACTACTACTACTACTACTACTACTACTACTCCTACTCCTACTCCTACTACTACTACTACTACTACTACTACTACTAGTACTACTACTACTAAGACTACTACTACTACTACTGCTACTACTACTACTGCTACTACTACTGCTACTACTACTACTACTACGACTACTACGACTACGACTACTACTACTACTACTATTACTACTACTACTACTACTACTACTACTACTACTACTACTACTACTACTACTACTATTACACTGCTACGACTACTACTGCTACTACTACTACTAATAATAAGACCAGTCAGAATAATAATCATAATAATAAGACGAATACTTATAATAATCTTGCTAAGAATAATGGTAATATCAACAACAATACTAATATTAATAATAATAAAACATGATAGTATTAATACTAATAATACTATTAATAACAATACTAGGAGGAGGTGGAGGAGGTGGAGGAGGAGGAGGAGGAGGAAGAGGAGGAGGAGGAGGAGAAGGAGGAGGAGGAGGAGGAGGAGGAGGAGGAGGAGGAAGAGGAGGGGAGGTGTCTGGGCACGAGAGGCGGGGGTCAATGCAGGCGGGGGTCAGCCAGAGCGCCCGATCTCGCAGGATCCGGCAGGGCCAGGGTCGCACGGACGCCGGCTCGGGTGCAGGATCCTGCAGGATTTTGCAGGATCCTTCGCCTTGCCCCGGGTTTGGGTGCAGGATCTTGCAGGATTCTGCAAGCCTGACTGGCCCGGGTCTGGATTGACCTGGGTCAGAAGATTCCCGAAGGTGATGATCTCGGCGGCGAGCGACCCCAATGCAACGCAACAGCCATGCAACGCATTCAAGGGGGGACGGGCTCCAGCGCGAGCTTTCTCCGCGCGGTTTCCTTGGATCGGCGCTGTACCCCCTTCCCTGGCGCGCGGAGCGCGTCAGCGACGGCGCTGGAGACGCTGCCAGGGGATCCTATCGCCGACCCAAGACATCTGCGCGGACCTCCAACAAAAACAACCACGCAACGCAACACACATGCAACGCTACTGCTAGATCTGAGACCCGCTCCATCGAAAGACTGGACTCAAGATCGCCTGAAGCTTCCTCCCCAGAACATTTCAATGCCTCCAAGGCTTCCGCAGAGCATTCCGAGATATCCTAATGTCGGCAGCGCGCCTGGGGGGAAGTCAGAAGGGCGGGCCTTTTCAGAGGTCTTGAACGTCCCCCGGCCTTCTGAGAAGTCTCTGAGCCTTCCCCGAAGACACAAAACCTTTCCGAAGGCGCGAGAGATTCGGAGAAGTCCCGCCGCCTTCCGAGAAGGCCTTCTCCTTCTCACTTCCCCCCCTCGCCCGCCGCCGATTACCGCTGCCGCTACCCTTGCCTCGGTTTCGCCTCTTGGGGCCTCCTGGGGAAGCCCTCATCGCTACGGCTGGACTCGTCTCGAAGTTCTGGCCGGCACCCCACGAGAGCTCCGGGGAGTGGCGGCATCGGTACCAGCAGGCTCCCCCGTTGTCGGTCGGGAGCTCCCAGAAACGGTGCGGTGACCGCGCCGTGCGGGGGGCCAGTGGGGGTTCGGGGCCACAGCACGGGCTTGGGGATCGGAGGACGTCTCGGGCGACTGGGGCCTCCAGGGTTTCACAGCCGTGCGGTGACGGGCCGTGCGGGTGGGGTCCAGCGGTGTTGCGAGGTCACCGCGCGGTCCGTCACCGCACCGGCTTGGAACCCCAGGGTCGACGGAGGCCGATCTCGGTCATGGCCCGTGCCCGCTGTCGTCGAGTCGTGGGGATGACCTGCGAATCGACGATGGCCGAGACATGGACGGTGGCCAGGATCGACACCGACGGCTCCGCGCCCAGCCCTGGCCGTGGTCCTCGCTTCGTTCTCCTCCAGGTACGACCCAGACACGCAGGCCAAGCCGTTCCTGCAGGAGTACACCATCGTGGCGGGGCTCCGGGCTCAGCGCGCGCGGGCGGCCCCCGAGAGGCAATCCAGCCCAGCCCTCAGCAAGACCCTGCAGGGTGGCCCAGAGCGGCGGTCTCGGCAGTCGTGCCCGCCTCTATTGGCGGCGCCCCCGCCCCGCCCCCCAGGGGCGCTCTGCGCCCTGTGGCCGAGGCGTTTGGACTGCCCCTGCTGAACTTCCCTGTGGGGCCTGCCGATAGCGGCCGGGGCTGCTTGCCTCCAGGGGCTGTCTTCGGGAGGGGGAGAGAGCACCAGTGACACGCCAGCGTGGGGAGCCCGTCAGCGTGCTGCTCCGCCGCGGTCGTGCGAGAGCCCGGCGCTTCCTCGGCGGCAGCACGCGGATGGGTTCCCCTCGGCGGCGCGCGGCTGCCCCCCCCCCGCGTCTCTGCGCGCAGCGCCCCGAGCCCCTGCCACACCCGTCGACCTGCAGAGCTGCGGCCCCATGATCCTGGATGCCCTGATCAAGGTCAAGGACGAGGTCGACCCGACCCTCACGTTCCGCCGCTCCTGCCGCGAGGGCATCTGCGGCTCATGCGCCATGAACATCAACGGCAAGAACGGCCTCGCGTGCCTCCTGTACATCGAGCCCGGCCCGGCGCCCATCGAGATCCAGCCCCTGCCTCACACGTACGTCGTGAAGGACCTCGTGCCCGACCTCACCAATTTCTACAACCAGTACAAGTCGATCGAGCCCTGGCTCAAGCGCAAGGACACGAAGGCCAAGGGGGAGAAGGAGTACTTCCAGAGCAGGGAGGACCGTGCCAAGCTGGACGGCATGTACGAGTGCATCCTGTGCGCCTGCTGCATGACGTCCTGCCCGTCCTACTGGTGGAACCCTGAGTACTACTTGGGGCCAGCGGTGCTGATGCAGGCCTACCGCTGGATCGCGGACTCCCGTGACCAGTTCACGGAGGAGTCTCCACGGAGAAGCGAGGTTTTGTAGCATCGAGGGTCGATGCTCGATGATGCAGCTTTTTGGCTGTTTCTGGCATCTCCAGGCGTCAGGAGATCTGGTAACCTCCAGGGACGGCTGGGGACCTCAGCTGGGATCTGCAAGGGGACCTCCCGAGACCTCAGGAACCCTCCCGGGAACCCGAGAGGGAAAGCGGTTCTTCTTTTTTGAGGGGGTCTTGGGAATGGAAGCCAACACCAGCACAGGGGTTTTGCCTCCACAGGGGGAAGATGATCCTCGATTTCGGTATTGGTGGTAATCTTTCGGCCACCTAGGACGCCCAAACATTACCACCATCGCCGAGGTCGATCACCTGGGAGGTGTCAACCTCTAGGCCTCCGATTCTTCTCTTGTGCTGGGGGCTCCCCGGGGGCATGCGAGGGAACGCGGCCTCCCAGGGGTCAGGGGCCGTCAAGCAGGCTCGGCAGCTATGAGAAGCCGTGCCAGGGGAGGCTCCTGGGGCCAAGGCCCAGTTCCGTCGGGATCCTGATTTCTCACGTCGGAGAGGAGCGCCTCGCGTGGGTGAACGACACCATGAAGCTTTACCGCTGCCATGGGATCATGAACTGCACGAACTGCTGCCCCAAGGGCCTGGACCCCGCCAAGGCCATCGTGCACCTCAAGGAGGAGGTCGCGGACACCTACAAGGACGCCTGGAAGGGCATGATGACCGAGCAGATCGTGAAGAACAAGGGCCGGGAATCGGGCATGATGTACATGTGAGGACCCTTCTTCTGCACCTCCTCCTCTTCTTCCCCTCCCTCTATTCACTTTTCTGTTTCTCTCTCTCTCTCTCTTTTTTGTTTCCCTCTCTCTTTCTCTTTCTTTCGCTCCCTCTCCATCTTTCTCCCCCTCTCTATCTCTCTCTCTCTGTTTATCCCTCTTCCTTTCCCTCTCTCTCTCTCCCTCCCTCCCTCTCTACCTCTCTCCCTCTCTCCCTCTCTCCCTCTCTCCCTCTCTCCCTCTCTCCCTTTCACCCTCTCTACTCTCTCCTCCTCTCCCCTCCCCTCTCCTCTCCCTCCCCTCTCCTCTCATCTCCTCTCCTCTTCCTCTTCCTCCCCTCCCCTCCCTCCCCTCCCTCCCCTCCCCTCCCCTCCCCTCCCCTCCCCTCCCCTCCCCGCCCCTCCCTCCCCTCCCCTCCCTCCCCTCCCCTCCCCTCCCTCCCCCTCCCTCCCCTCCCCTCCCCTCCCTCCCCTACCCCTCCCCTCCCCTCCCCTCCCCTCCCCTCCCCTCCCCTCCCCTCCCCTCCCCTCCCCTCCCCTCCCTCCCTCTCCACTCCCCTCCCCATCCCCTCCCCTCCCCTCCCCTCTGAACTGTTGCTCATCACGAGTACTAGCTCTCCTCTCCCCCCAGCTCGAACACGTGCGTGTTTTACCCGCCGCTTCAGCCTCCTCTCCGAGCAGGGCGACGCACCACGACGGACGCCACCCATGCGCTGCCCAGCACGGCAGGCCCTCGCTCGTCGGGAAGCGGCGCCCCCGCGCTCTCGCTTCGGCACCCGCCGGACCCCCTTGCCCCTCCACGATCGCAGAGCTCAACTTCTCTGTCAGACAGTTTCCCAGGAGCCCAGGAGCCCCTCGAAACCCGAGGGGAACAGCCTACTTCCCCACCCAAGGGGGGGGGGAAATCGGCCAGTGGAGCCCAGGCCACGCCACTGGGGACAGGGATAGGTGACCCAAAGATTCAACAGAGCGAGCCCAGGAGCCCTCCTCGACCCCTGCCCGGGGGCCGCGCCGTCGTGCCCCGGCTCTTCTGCCCGTCGGTGTGCTCTCCCGTGGCCTGGAGGGCGGGCCCCGGGGGTCAGGAGCGGAGGACGCCCCCCCCCCCGTGCTCGTGCTCGTGCTCATGCTCATGCTGCTGCCCTCCCATACCTCCTCCTCCTCCTCCTCCTCCTCCTCCGCCTCCTCCGCCTCCTCCTCCTCCTCCTCCTCCTCCTCCTCCTCCTCCTCCTCCTCCTCCTCCTCCTCCTCCCCCTGCCGTTTCGTGTCTCTCTTCCCTCCCGCCCCCCCCTCCTCCTCCTCCTCCTCCTCCTCCTCCTCCTCCTCCTCCGTAGCCATTTTGGCTCAAGGTCCCAATGTTGCTTGGCATAGCGCCAAGAGGCTTTCATGGCATACCCTTGTTCCAGGGCCAGCTCAGGATTGCTTTTTTGCTCTCCTTACATATTCACGCGGGATTGATTGTTTGTGGTGCCGCGGCCACTTCCATATTGGCGTTCGAGAATCCAGACCCAGTGGTCTACGGCGTGCTCGCAACATGCCCGAGACGAGCGACCTCGCCACCATTCGTGATCGTCGCGAACGAAGCCCTCGTAACAACAAAGACCCCTGGCAAGATGCTGCACAAAAGGAAAGACTTGAACTATTCCGCTCCGAGATCGAGAAACACCTGGCCATTCAAGTTGCTGGCGCGGCTGAACAATTCAAGGCTACCGCAGAGAAAGTTGCCGCTTCGTCTCAAGCCAGCTTCATCACGCACATCACTAACATCACTGCCAAGCTCACCGAACGCCAAGACCACGTCGAGAACGACATCGTCTCCCTCAAGCAGCGCATCTCCGCCTCTGAAGTGGAGTCCAAGAACCTCAACGACGCGGTGGACAAGATCAAGACTGCCATTGCTCATGCTGAAGCCCAAGTTCCACCGCTCGACGTCAGCAACATCGGCTCGTGGGACAGGGCGCCACACATCGGCACCTTTTGGATCGCCTCCACTGTGGACATCACACAGGCATCTCTCAAGTCGGCCATCGCCGAGTGGTTTTCGGCAGCCAATATCGACGTGTCTATGGTTCGCTACAGCAACTCCGCTCCTGCCAAGCGGGTCTCCATCACTGTACTCGGAGCCGATGCCGTCGCCGTACCACGTGCTCAAGCTCTTCACCATCATCTGCGCATTGGTCGGGAATGGCGTACTTTCACGATCGGCGGTGCCCCATGCTACGTCAGCGCAGACAAGAGCCCCAAGCTCGTCAGGCAGGAGATCCAGCTCAAGAAGCTGGCAAGGATCGTCAACAACGCCAAGCAGGACCTCAACCCCAAGATCCACCGCGCCGATGGCTACCTCTCCATCGACAATGTGCCCATCGTCCGCATCCAAGTGGGCTCCCGCCCTGAGATGGCGACCAAGATTCAATGGTCTGATGCTGCTGATGGTGTCGGCCTTACCTCTGCGATGCGATCTTCGTGCGCCGACGCCCTTGCCGCTGCCTTCGCGGATGCAACCACATCAGTGTCGTGGATTTAACAGCAAGTGGACTCCATGGAGCGCGACTACCACGTCATCTATGACTGAGTGCTCGGTGGTCAGCTGGAACGCTCAGGCGCTGGTGCACTCGAACATCGTCAAGCGCGACGCCAAACTCTCCATCCTCAAGCCCTACCTCGCCAAGCGACCCCTCCTTGCCATTCAGGAGACTCACGGCACCTCGCAGATGATTCACAGCCTCATCAACTCCACGGGCGCAAAGTACGACGTCTACCACAGCGGCATCCCCGACTCCAATGCGGCGGGCGGCGTCGCCTTCCTCATCCCAAAGTTCATCCCCTGCAGCGACCAGGACAACACCAAGCCGATGATCAACTTCTCCGCGGTCATCCCTGGCCGAGTCGCCGAACTGCGAATCCGCGACCCCAGCTTGAAGTACCTCCATATCTACCTCAACATTCATAACCATGATCTCTCCGCTGATGACCGAAGACGGCTCAAGGCCACGTGGCAAGTGGCACTGAATTAAGCAAGCAGCGATCCTGAACACGTGATGTTCTTCATGCTCGGCGACTTCAAGATCTCTGAACTACCTGCTCGCAATCTATTACGCCCTGTCGAAGTGCCAGCTCACGAACGATACCAGTTCCAGCCCACCTTCTGGAGGCAGCTCTTCCGACCACTGGTCGAGATCTGCACGCCATCCACCACCCACCGCTGCCGCGCGAACAACACTGAATCAAGCATCGATCGCTTCTTCACCTCCTTCCAGGCACATAATCTCACCCATATTGAGACGATCATGGTGGCCGACGACTCGTTACTCGAACGAAAAGGAATACCTGCCAGTGACCATAAACTTCTTCATGTTCGATTTCGCCCCCGAATTCAACGGCCCCATGCTGAACGAGGCATCCCCGCCTACCTCTTCAACTCCGACTTCTACAAGTTCTTCATCGACAAGCTCTCCGCCGACACCGAGTACGACACGCTCACGCCCATCATCAAGTGGCGCACGCTGAAATCCAACATGACGAACGCTGCGAAAGCCACGCGAGATGCTCTTGCGCGGCTACCGCCTGAAGTCCTTGCACGCGACCATCTCTCGATCTCCAAGGAAGTCAACTCAATGGCCATGGGAAGCATCTCTCGCGCGGTCTGGTTCCAGGACATCAAGCTCGCGCGCCTCCTTATCGACACCACCCACCTGGGCTCCAAGCACTTGCAGATCATCATCGACAACTCTACCGACATCCCTTCGAGCAAGGTTTGCCTTCTCAACGCCAACGCCTTCGCCGACGCCGCTGCTGAAGCTCATGCTGCTGTCGCTGAAGAACGTCGTGCCCTCGCTGCCGCGCGTGCCCGTGATGCTTACCAACGTCTACAACGTCAACAAGGGGACAGGTGGCGGAAACGGGCCAGTGCCACACGCAGACTTGGAGAGCTGTGGAAGCCCTTCTCCAAGCGTCTGGTGCTCGCTGGTATCCGAATTTGGCAAGGCAACTCCTCCGGCATCGCCAAGACACCGTCGGACATGCACGACGCTATTCTAGCGCACTGGGGCCCGATCTTCGCTGACAAGCCAGTAAACACTGCCAACATGAACGCCTACCTGGACTCTGTCTTCGCCCAGCGTGAATATGTTGCGCTGGAACTCCCCAATGCTGAAGAGCTTCAAGAAACAGCAAAACGAGCACATGACTCCGCCGCAGGTCCAGACGGTCTTCCTTACACAGCTTGGACTTCCACCCCCAACAGTTTCGAGATCCTGGAAGAGCTCGTGGCTAACATCTCGGCCAACAACATCATCCCGCACGATTGGAACCACGCTCTACTTGCCATGCTACCAAAAGGTGATGCGCCTGCAGGGCATGCTGAATGCTATCGGTCGCCAGACCAACTCCGACCTCTCGCGATGAAGAACACCGACGTAAAGATTGCTGCCTCCGCCATCGACCGCAAGCTACATCCGATAGTCAAGCAAGTGTCGAGTATCCAACGAGGTTTCGTACCTGGCCGCCAATTCCTCAACGACATAGTCGAAGCCGACACGTACAGCCGCATCTACAGCACCATGGACAACGCCGCCGAGCACATGCCGTGCTTCCTCAGCATGGACATCGCCGCCGCCTTCCCAAGCTTGCTTCACACTTGGTTATGGGAAGTGATTCGCAGATGGGGGATTGATGGCCGCGTCCGTCGCCTCCTCCAGTCCTTCTACGCCTCGCCCATCGCCTTCCTCGAGCTGGGAGGCACACGTCGACCATTACTCGTTGCAGCCAGCGGAGTAGCTCAGGGCTGCCCACTCAGTGGCGCCATCTGGGCCCTGGTGTTCGACCCCATCCTACGCGGAATTCAACACCACTTTCATCAGATTGGCCGTGGCATGGCCAGTGCTTGTGCCGACGACATTGGTTGCGTCTTAGCACACTTGCGTGACATGCAAGGCATCCGACCGCATACCGAGGCGGCCCACTCTTTCGCGGGGCTGTTGCTCCAACCTCGAAAGTGCGTGCTCGTCCCAGTCTGGACCAACTGCTTCGAAGACGTTGACAACGCCATGCGCGACACGCTCAGGACGATCAACCCCGCCTGGGCCCAGTTCAAGATCGACGGCAAGGCCAAGTACCTCGGAGTCTACATCGGTCCGTGTGCTGATGATCGTGCTCAATGGGCCGCCCCTGCGGCCAAGTGGTACCACCGTTCCCAGATATTGGGCGACGCCTCCGCGGCCATCCAGCTGAACGTTTCGCTGTACAACACCTCCGCGATAACTTGCCTCACGTATGTCGGACAACTCTTTCCAGCTCCAGAACTCGTTCTTTCCAAAGGAATTCATGCCCTTCATAAAGTTACCAGATCTGCTCCGTCAGCATTCACCAAGCTCGACATCCCCGGCATGACGAACTGGGCGGGCTGCGCCATCCCCATTGGTGTCGAAGTCCTGCTTGCTGCCACGCTGTGGCGCTCTGCTACTTCCACCATCAACGCCTGGCCCCAGCTTCTCGAACTACACCATCTGGCAGCACTTGATCAGCTTCCACTCGTCTGGGTTGCCCAGGGACTTTGGACCGCGCCGTGCTGGGCCTCCGCTACCTCGATCGCGCAACACCTGCGGGCGGCCAAGTTCGGCGACAACTACTCCACCCACAAGGGCACCATCTTCAAGATCATCAAGCGCAGCCGCCATCACGATCATCTGGCTCGCCGTCAGATGCGCCAAGCTCATGAACTCGCCCGTGACGCTGCTCTTCGTGTCCTGCACAAACTTCGCCGTGCTGATGATGATCCTCCAAAGAAGTCACCGCAAACCACATACATGATCACGCTTCAGCGCTCGCTCTATGAAGATTCTTTCGACTCCACCATCGCCGCCCGCCTTCGGGCCTGGTTCCCCACCCTCCCGTCGGCGCCGTCTGCTACCTCTTCCGACTCAGGACGCCTCCAACGATTCCCACCACTTCATCTACAAGTTCCTACTACGCCTGATGACGATGACCACGACATGCGAAACGCAGCCAACGAGCTCGAGACCATCGCTGAATGCCTGCAGCATTGGGCCTCCGACTGGCTTGCCTCGATTTACCTCGCTCAACCACTTCATGAATGGGACGTCGACGACTGGCATGAATGGTGCGAAACATTTATTATTCGTCATCTCCGTCGTGGCGGTCTTCAAGTCCTCTTTCGTGGCCAAACAGATGCTCAACTCCGTCGGCGTGCTGAACGTATTTGCACGCAGGCATGGCAGTCAACCGCGGCATCCAGACTCCAGACCACCGCTGCGTTCAATCTCCCCCGCACCGCCGAATTACAGCAGAGGTTCGATCGTGCAGCTGCCGAACACCATGCTCGGCGTCGCTGGATCCACGACGCCGGCTTCCAGAACAACGACTCGGATTCCACGCCCGTGATCACCGACGACCTCACCAACGCGTACGCAGACGACAACGACATGACCTCCCTCATCCAGTTACCGTTCAACGTGAAGATCGCGTGGAGCCCCCTCCGCCCGAAGATCGCCGAGCTGCCGCCCTCGCGCTTCTGGCCTGTGATGAAGACGCTATCGGGCGGGTGGGCCACGTCTTACCGCATGCGCGTGCAGCCTATCCTTCGAGGTTGTGTTCTTGGCTGCAACCCAAAGTTCCACCCCGACTCTTTCAGCCACTATTTGGTCTGCAAGCGCTTGTGGCATCACGCTGCACTGCCTCGTGGACGACTTCATAGATGCGTACTTGCCAGGCTTGGCCTGCACGACACCAATTTCGACCCGAACGGGGCCGATGACGACAAGATTGACCACGTGCTCATCCGTCTCGCCGTGGTCTACAGGTTTTACCACTCGATCAAGATCGACGGCAGCGGCGACAACGCGTACCACATCCACAAGAACTACATGCAGGCCTCTCGCCTCGCCCTGAGGCTGGGCCCGAGCGCGCACGGCGGTGCGCGCTCATTATAGATCGACGCGCCTCTCCCAGGGGTTCGTTCGCTCCTCCCCCCCCTCCTCCTCCTCCTCCTCCTCCTCGTCCTCTCCTCTCCTCCTCCTCTCCTCTCCTCTCTCTCTCTCTCTCCTCTCCTCTCCTCTCCTCTCCTCTCTTCTCCTCTCGCTCCTCTCTCCTCTCCTCTCCTCTCTCCTCTCCTCTTCCTCTCCTCTCCTCTCCTCTCCTCTCCGCTCCTCTCCTCTCTCTCTCCTCTCCTTCTCCTCTCCTCTCCCTCTCCTCTCCTCTCCTCTCCTCTCCCTCTTCTCTTCTCTCTCTCTCCCTCCTCTCCTCTCCTCTCCTCTCCTCTCCTCTCCTCTCCTCTCCTCTCCTCTCCTCTCCTCTCCTCTCCTCTCCTCTCCTCTCCTCTCCTCTCCTCTCCTCTCGCTTCCTCTCCTCTCTCTCCTCTTTCTCTCTCCTCTCTCCTCTCCTCTCTCCTCTCCTCTCTCCTCTCCTCTCCTCTCCTCTTCTCCTCTCCTCTCCTCTCCTCTCCTCTCCTCTTCCTCTCCTACTCCTCTCCTCTCCTCTCCTCTCCTTCTCCTCTCCTCTCCTCTCTCTCTCCTCTCCTCTCCTCTCCTCCTCCTCCTCCTCCTCCTCCCTCCTCCTCCTTCCCCGTCGTTCTACTCAACCCCACCCTCTCCTCCTCCTTCCTGTTCGCCCTATCCCTCAGCTTCCTTCTAATTTCCTCCTCGCTCTCCTCCGTCTGCCCCTTCGCGTCCCCATGCCTCCTTTGCCTCCCTGCTGCTCCCTATTGTCCCAGATCTCCTCTTCGGCAGGCTTCTGGAGGCGCTGAGCTGTGGGGCCAGGAAGGCTCCCTCGTGCCCGTTCCTTGCGTGGCGCCGTTCGATCGTGCGCGTCTCTTCTCTCCGCCCAGACCTCGCCCGGCGTCCCTTCGCGCTGCCAGCCCCATCAGGGGCAACGTGAACTGAGGGAGGGTCGGCTCGGGAGGGAATGCATCGACCCCAATCGCCCATTGATCGCCGACAGGGGCCTGATAGCCCACCCGTCCAGGGAGCGTCCAGTTTCGCCACCTGGGTCATACCGCTGTTGGCGATACCGTCGTGACCCCTCGCCCCTTCTTGCCCCGTCTTGCCCTGGTGGTGCAGGCGGCGGGCCAAGCGCACTGCACACGAACGACCAAGACGGGGGGTGGTCTCTTGCGAAGGGTGGCCTTGGGCGATGGCCGTGGCTCACTCGGCCGCCAGTGTGCGTCACACAGCGTGCAGTGGAGGGTGCCTGCGCCCGACCTCTGCGCGGGGAGCTTCTGCGAGATTGTCCGTGCCGTGGGCCCTGTTTGTTCCGTCTATGCAATCAGGGAACCCGCCGGCCCTTTCTGTGCAGTCGGCCCCTTTTTGTGCTGCGAGTGTCCACGCGCGTCATCCAGGGTGAGGGCCCGAGCTGACGCCTGGCTCGGCGAGCAGAGCGGGATTTCGCGCAGCAGGAGGGGATGGGCGGAGTGGGCGGCAGCATGTCAGTGTCAAGTGATGCGCCTGCGCGCTTGCGTACATCGGCTCTCTCCTCTCTCTTCTCTCTCGCTCTCTCTTTCATCTCCTATCAATCCCCGCTCCTCTGTTCTCCCTCCTCTCTTCTCTCCCCTCTTGTTTCCCTCACCTCGGCTCTCGTTTTCTCGCCCCCCTCCTCTCCTCTCGTCTCGTTTCTCTGCCACCTAGCCGTCCGACAGTCAGCCAATCTGGGGGGGTGGCCGTCTTACTTGTAAAAGACAGTGCAGAGCTTACGTTTTTGCGCGTCAGCATGGTCTTTAAATTATCCACGTTGCAAGATGCGTGTCAGGAATTGGACGGGGCGCACATCCTGCGCGAATGGCCGAAATGTCGCTCTCGCCTCGGCGCCGCGCTCATGTTTCCAGAGTTCAGCTCCCGCTGGGGCGCGGCGCACGTTTTTCGCACGCCACTTCGCCGATGCGCGAGCGGACGAAGAGATCGCTGCTGCTCCAGGCAGACTTCGCCTGGAAGTTGCGCTCCCCTCCCCGGCGCGGCGCAGATTCATCACCCTCCAATTTTGGATGAGGCCCTTCGCGAGAGGGCGACTCGTCGCCCTCGCCCTTGAGCCGTGCGCACCTCGCTCGGAAGTGGCGTTCCCACGCGGGCGCGGCGCATGGCTCGTCTGCCGGACTTGCATGCAAGCGGCAGCGGCAGCGCCGACCTCGCCCAGGCGCCGCGCAGGCTGCGAGCGACATTCGCAGCGCCGTGGGGGCGCGGCGCATGCTTCGTCTTCGCCGCGCCGCTCATCGCATGTTTTGCCGCTCCCGTCCCTTCGCGGCCCACGCAGTTTTCCCCAAGTCGTTGGAAGCGGGGCGCGTCCGCGAGAGCCTTGCGTTCGCTGCAGTGTAGGTGGGAACGCGTTCCAACAATCTCAATATCAGGTTGGGTCGGCACTTGATTCTATAGCATGGGAGGGAGGGTGAGAAGAGGCGGGGCCCTCTGACTCGCTCGACCTGGCTAACTTGACGCACGCCTTACTCTTCGTTCCTCTCGCCCCCCCCCCATCTTCATCCTCTTCCTCCTCGTCGTCCGCTTCCTCCTCCTCCTCCTCCTCCTCCTCCTATTATTCTTCTTATTACTATTACTCTTAGTAGTATTCTTCCTAGTAGTATTGATATCCGCCTAGTAGTATTCTTCCTAGTAGTATTCCTCCCCCCCTCCACATCCGCCTCCCTACCCCTGCCGAGCACGCCGAGCCTGTGCGCCAGCTGGCCGAGCTCGTGCGCCAGCGGCCGCGTGCGCCGGCTGGCCTGGCTCGTGCCCCGGTGGGCGGCGCGCGAGTGGGCGCCCGCCCCAAGGGGCTGCCTGCCGCACCCGCTCGGCGTCTGAGCCGTCGGACCCGCCGAATGGTCGGAGGACCCGGCGACAACGACGACGACGACGACGACGACGACGACGACGACAAACGACGACGACAAACGACGACGACAAACGACGACGACGACGACGACGACGACGACGACGACGACGACGACGACGAGGACGAGGACGAGGACGACGACGACGTGGGCCAGAGGAGGGAAAGGTACCGATACCGCTACCTTTCCCTCGTTTGTCGCTTTTTTGGACTAGACCTCCTTGGAGGCCCTCGTCGCCACGGCTGGGTTCGTCTCGGAGTTCTGGTCAGAACGCACCCCGGAAGAGGTCTAGCCAGAGAGCAGCAGCATCCGTATCTTTTACTACCTCAGAGTGGGCCAACGGGATCGCTCGAGGTTTTGGCTGCTGCTTTGTTCGTGGAGCAGAAGAGGGTAGATGGCTTGTGGTGGGCGTGTTCACTTTGCACTTCATTAGTGTGCTTGGTCACGAACAGTTGCAGCAACTTTTTAACCCGTCGTGGTTACTGTGATCCTCTCCTCATGTCCCTCGCTGCTGTATTCGCTTGAATGTCCTCATCCCCTCCTGACGTGCATTTCTCGCGCGCGATGCCTTTCTCGTCCTCGTCCTCGTCGCCGACTTCATCATCCTCCGCCTTCCTCCCCTCCCATATCTTTTATTTCTAGGCAGTTCCTCCCTGTCGCACTCCCAGACGTGTCGGTAGGGTGGGCCTTGCGTTTCGCCTGAGGTTTCCTCACCACTTCTGGTGCTGACGCTTGAAACTTACAACAGTTATACGGTTATAAAGCGGTTTTCAAATTGGGGTTCTCGCTCAAGCGTTGTGCGCATTTGTTTTAAAGGCCTGCTACAGCTTCAAGAGAGGGGGTCGTCTACACAATGCGGATATCGTTTTAGCGCCGCGCCTGTTCGCTTCAAAGTTCGTAACAGCCTCAAGGATGGAGCGCAGGTCGTTTTCAACATGGGGCTCTTACCTTAGTCCCTTACACGGTAGTTTCAAAAGCTTGCAGCAGCTTCAAGGATGGAGGTCGGGAGGTCGTTTTCAAAACGCGACTCTCGCTTGAGCGCCGCACACATTCGATTAACAAGCGTGCAGCAGCTTCAAATATGGAAGGCCGCTCCTGTTGAAACTGTGGCCCTCGCTGGAGGCTTCTCGAAGCCCATGACCTGATGTGCCGCATTGTGCAACCGTCGCACAGTTGGGGGCGGCCCCTTTCCAACACGGGAATTTCGCTGGACACCTCGCCGAAAACCATGACCCTTCCGTCATGCCTCATCGCATTCCGCCTCCGCCTTCTCCTCCTCCTCCTCCTCCAGCTCCTCCTCCGCCTACTCCTCCAGCTCCTCCTCCAGCTCCTCCCCCGCCTTCTCCTCCTCCTCCTCCTCCTGCTCCTCCTCCTCCTGCTCCTCCTCCTCCTCCTCCTCCTCCTCCTCCTCCTCCTCCTCCTCCTCCCCCTCCTCCTTCTCCTCCTTTTTTTCCTCGTATTGTTTCCTGGCAGAATGCGCGTCAGTTTTTTCCTGCCAGCACGGGGCTGTTGCCCGGATGGCAGGCCCACAGGGTGGTGCCGGTCTTTCAAGCGGGGGCCCGTCTTGTAAGTGATGAGGACGGAGGCTCGTGTGGACTCGCGAGGAGAGGACTTAGGACGGGAGGGCGTGCTGCAGCATCTCTGATGCGGCTTGGGTTTGCTCTGCTCACCCCTCCCTTCGCTCTTCGTCTCCACCCTGCCCTCTGGTTCCCCCTTCCCCTTCCTCCTCTCTCCTCCCTTCCTCCGTCCTCGCCCCCCCTCTTTTCTCCTCCCCTCCGCTCCCCTCCTCCAGGCAGGATCCTCCCGAAACCTTCGAAAGCACCCGGATCCTTTTGAGCACCGAAGAGGGGCTTCCAGACTTTTGTGTGAACGTATCGTTGCGAAGGACCCAAACATTTGCAGCTGCAAGTATCGCGAGGCAGGTGAGAAGAAGGAGGGATGCCACAAAACGTGTGAGTGGTGTGCCGTAGGTTCGGCGGCGTCTTGCGAATCCTCCCATCAGGGCCTTCGGTGGAGCTCCTCATGGGGCCACGAAACGTGTGAGGGGGGTGACGAAATGGTTGTGGCGGCGCCATGCGAACTCTCCCACTGGCGCCCTCGGCGGAGCTCCTATGCGGCCACGAAACATGGAGGGTTGTGCCGAAATGGGTGCGGGGGTGTCATGCGACCTCTCCTACCGGCGCCCTCGGTGGAGCTTCCTATGGGGGCACGAAACGTGTGAGGGGTATGCCGACATGGGTTCGGCGGCGCCATGCGAACCCTCCCACTGGGGCCTTCGGCGGAGCTCCCCACGGGGCCGCGAAGCGTTTAAGGGGTGTGCCGAACTGGGCGAAGGCGCCATGCGAACCCTCCCGCTGGGGCCTTCGGCGGAGCTCCCTCGGTGGCCACGAAACGTGGTGGCGGCGCCATGCGAACCCTCCCACTGGGGCCTTCGGTGGAGCTCCTTATGGGGCCACGAAGCGTGTGAGGGGTGTGACAGAAACGGGCGCGGCGGCGCCATGCAAGCCCTCTGAGGCCTTCGGTGTAGCTCCCTATGGGGTCACGAAACGTGTGAGGGGTGTGGCCGACATGGGTGCGGCGGCTCCGTGCAAACCCTGCCATTGGGGTCTTCGGTGGAGCTCCCTATGGGGCAGCGAGACGTGTGAGGGGTGTGTCGAACTTGATGCGGTGGTACCATGCGAACCCTCCCACTGGGGTGGTTGGTGGAGCTCCCTATCCAGCCGCGAAACGCGTGAGGGGTGTTTCGAAATGGGTCCAGCGGCGCCATGCAAACCCTCCCTCTGGGGCCTTCGGTGTAGCTCCCTAGGGTGCCACAAAACGTGTGAGGGGTATGCCGAGATGTGACTGATGATGGTGAGAGTGCTGATGCTGATGCCGAAGAAGCTGATGATGACGATACTGATGGTGATGATGATGGTGATGATACATATTGTGATGATGATGATCATTGTGATGGTGATGATGATGATGATGATGATGATGATGATGATGATGATGATGCTGATGATGATGCTGATGATGATGATGTTGATGGTGATGTTGATAATGATGATGCTGATGATAATTTTGATGATTGTGATTATGATGGTGGTGGTGGTGATGATGATGCTGACGACGACGACGATGACGATGATGATGGCGAACAGGAGGAGGAGGGAGGAGGAGAGTAGAGGGAACGCGGAGCGCTTTCGATTCAAAAGGAGGACACAACAACATACATACGCAGGACGAAATATTTTCTTCTTGGGGCGCAGATGGTGATGATGAGTTAGACGTGAATGACCTAACCCCCTTCCCCCGTAGAATCTTAACACGGGTGGGTTCCAGGGTCCGCGGATCCGGTTTCTTCCCCGTTTTCTTGTAATCATACAAATTTTAAACGGATCCGCCGTAATAAAGGACTGGACACGGATCCAGCAAATCCGAAATCGGATCCGCGCGGACGGAAATCGCATCCAACGAAACAAACACCAAAGCCACATTTGGATCCGCGCGAACTTCATAGGATCCGATGGCGGTTATCTCATGCGGGTTTGCTCAAGACTTCAAACCGTCGTGCGGGCCCAAGAGGAACAAACTTTCGCCCTGGGAATGTAGGACGGTTGGGAAACACAACCGAACACCTCCCGGCCCTCGCCCTCCTGGAGCCCGCGCCGCCCATCCGCCGACCGTCCACGACGACCGAGGACGAAGGCGTCGACGACGACGACGACGACGGAGGCGTCCGCGTCGACGACGAGAGTGAGGAGGACCACTGCGGCGCTGCCGACGACGACGGCGCCGTTTCCTCGCCTCCGCCGACGGCGGCGGCGTGCCCTCCGCCCGCGCCAGCGCGCGCAAGCGCGCGTGCCGGCGGGGCGCCGTCGGCGGGCGGCCCGGCCCCCCCCGCGCATGCGGCGCCCGCGGGCGGACCCGCCGCCATGGCGGACGACAAGCCCAGGCGGGGCTGGGCCGCGGTCGGCAGGGCCACCTTGGGCTCCGCCACCGCCGCCACCGCCACCGTCGTGGTCGTCGTGGTCGTCGTGGTCGTGGTCGTCGTCGTCGTCGTCGTCGTCGTCGTCGTCGTGGTCGTCGTCGTCGTCGTCGTCGTCGTCGTCGTCGTCGTCGTCGTCGCCCCCGCCGTCGCCGCGGCGA